CCAAACAAAGTAGTTTCGCTTTCACAATGAAACACACAGCGTCTTCACGACATGGCGGCAGCAACAACAATACTACAGCGAGAATAAAAGTTTTGCTTCTTTCTTTGTGTGAACATTTGGGCGGTGTTATGCAAATCTTCCCACATCGTGATGTAGACATGTGGGGGCGTGTTAGAACGAGCCGTTTTAGGTAGGCGTGGTTGACTCTTAACTTTTATAAAGAATATCTCTTTGGATTTGAGACTTTAGTCTTTGCAACTTTACAGATCTTCTTTATGCACCAAGAGCTTGTAACACTCCAAAGAGAAAGGAAAAATTTAAATTGCATCATATGACCCCTTTAATACATTTTTATACAATTTTGATTATTTTTCCCACCTTGTTACACTTGTGGTATTCCTGGCCAAAAATGACCACCCTACAAAAAGGCCAGTTTTCCTCTCATTGTGCTATATTGCCAAATATTGAATTTATTCTATCAACTTATTTTCTTTCAATTAGCACAGGTTGTGTTTCTTTTTGATTGTAGGCCTCATTAATCTAAGCTTATGCACCACAGTTTTTGAGTAAAAACTCCCAAAATAATACACAAATAATGCTTTTTTTTCACTCAAAAAACGGAGGTGCATAAGCTCAGATCAGTGAGGCCTATGACAAAACCTGCGCTAATTCAAAGAAAACAAGTTGACCAAAAAAAATTTAAAAACAAGGATTAAATAAAAAAGTAAATGATCAGAATTTACATCAATAAAAAAATATGGATTATGAACAGCCTAAATATCAGTAAGCAAGTTTGGTAATTTTACCTGTAGACACACATTCCCTAAAGCACTCATTCTCTGTCAAGAATCGGTTTTCATTTCCGCCACAACCACCGTACCAGAAGTGCATGCATTTCTTAGTCTGCTGGCTGTAATACCATCTGGACATATACGATCCACACACATGGCCTGAATCTTTCTCAAGGAAGCATCGTGCTGTTGGAAACAAACATTCCATTAATTCCCTGCAGCACTGAATACTGAACTCTGTCAGAGAAACAGCATAAAAGCTTGTGCATTTTTAATGTGAGTGAGGATACAGAACTACGCCAGAGATATGTGCAACTCCAAAAAAGCTAAATCAAGGGTTAAATTGGCCAGTAAGATCTAGATTCACCACCTTTAGTCTTTGAGGGCTCCGTTTTGTCCTTTTTGTGCTCCTCTGTAAATTGTTCAGTGTCATCATATTCACTGGGTTCAGTGATTGGTTCTGTGTTTTGCTCATCATAAACATCTTCATATTGCTCCTCTTCATATGGTTCCTCTGTTGTGAAGGGCTCTTCGGTGGGCGCTTCAGTTGGCAGAATATCTCTGAAACACAGTTAGACACATTCATATCATTAAAAAGCACAGAATGTGTCCTGTACAGCTAATTAGTGCTCAGTATTGCAGCATCTGTTTGTATTTCAACGTGCAAATAAAAACAAAATATGGCTCATGAAGCCCAGGTTTCCCATTTCTGGCACAGTACAAAGACTCAAAACAGTAACATTTTTAGACCCTAAAACCTTTGGATCATTAAACCTAGAGCTTAACCGACTGTGCCACACCACCTTGTGCCACACACAAAAACATGCAAAGAAAATGCTTCTCCTGCTACAGCCAAATGGTTTTGAAAACACACAAACCATGCACTAACCTTTCTGATTTTATGTCGGAAGACTGTGGTTAGTAAATCACATTACCTCTCTGTGGTTTGTGGTCCAGAGTCAACAGGCCTCACCACAAAACCACGACAATCACGAGTCTGTATTGATGACCGGGGTAAGATTCCTCCTACAAAACAACAGCAGATACACAGCAGGGTTATTATCATGAACTGAAATTAAAAATAAAGCCATAAAAATACAATTGCTAATACTTAAATGTTAAGTGAAATGAAATAAATTAATAAAGAAAAAAAACTTGTTTTACGCTACTTTCGAAGGCTACATTTATCATTTTTGCTGAAGTACTAAAATAACTAAAACTAAAACTGAAATAAAAATCTATAAAAAATTAATAAAAACTATGTTAGCATCTGTTAATTTTCAGAAGAAAAAGTCTGCAAGTTTCAGTAACAGAACAGGTTAGACCAGACCAGGATCTTTCGCAGCGGCCTTATGAAAACACAACCATGAATATTTCTTACTGTGGAGCATATGCAGGAAGGCGTAAGCGAAGCGTGTGCCATAATCTCTGTCATCCAGGAAAACCAGGTGCTGCTCCAGAGGAGAACTGGTGAGCTCCTCCATCTGTGTCCAGTCGAATCTCTGTCCCGCCATGAGGATAAACATCACAACATTCTGACACTTACACAGTCTAGACAAATAATCAAGCTGAGCATTGCTGTGCTCAGAATCTCCACCAAAAACAGCCATGACCATTCGTTTGCTTCGTGGTCTTTCTGCTTTAAGGATAATGTTAGTAATCAGCCTCTCCAAAGCAAACTCAGGATGGGATGTCCCGCCCACTTGCTTCACTGTATTAGTAATATGCCTCTTCATGATATTGCGATCTTTAAATGTAGTGAAGCTGAACTCCTCATTGATGGAAGATGAGCCGTAAACGGAGCTCTGCTGGTAGACGGACACTCTGTTTTTTCCGTCGGCTCTGCTCGGCTCGCTACTCACACCGATCCGGTCCAACAGAGACAGCAGGATCTCCTTCGTGTTTACATACTGTTGAGTGTTCAGGTTATCAGACCCATCCAGCAGCACAGAGATGTCCAAATCCATCTGCAGGGGTGAAGGCCGGATTACACCACACAATGGGTCTGGGTTACAACGATCTGGCAAGAGAGAATAAAAACCCTTGGCTTGTAATTAAAGACATCCATGATCCAAAACCTACCTACATAAGCCGCATCCTAACAGAAATGGAACCTCATCAATGACTGATTCGGAACACTCTAGATAGGCAGCAACTCTGTGTGTCATAAAAAAAGAGCACTTCATTGACATAAGGAGTTGGCATGCTGAAGTTGCTTTAGATAACAACACACTAATAAGCATAAAAATAAATCACATAAATATTGGTCAAAACGTTTTTGTTTTTTGTTTACAGTCAACATTTTTCTAACTTGGTCTGCCATCATAGCTGCATTATGGGATTGACTTCTCATTAGGAAGTTGGCTTGCTGACATATCATAATGATCTAATAAACAAAATTATTAATGCACACAAATATTGGTCACAACATGCATTTTTTTTATTTACAATCAACATTTCTCTAACTCCGTCCACCATCAATGTTTACTGAACTTGTTGCAATGCATTATGGGATTTACTTGCTGCCTTAGGGGCCATTCACACAGAATATGTTTCTGCATTTTCCTGGACTGCTTTTTCATTGTTTTTCTTCGTAAACATAGGCTAGACAGACATGTTTGACCATGACAATCATATCTTGCATCTTTTGCAATTTGACACACATGACACCATATTCTAAAACACAGAGCTCAAGTTAAAATAAGTCAACTTGTAAAAAATGCATTTCTAGACCTTGAATGAATGTTCCCTTAGAATCTGAACAAAATTAGGTATTTTTAGAGGCAGCGTAATGCTGCGTACATTTCGGAATGGTTTACACTTTGCATCAGAACCTTGTCTATGACTACTTAAAATGATGTCTATGTAGGTTTTGGATGAGAGTCTTCACTGTTGAATATCCATAAACATACACAAAAGAAAGAAAAAAAAGTAATTTGTGTGTATTTTCCAAAAAATCTCATGTGCAAAGCTTTGCTCTTGATGTTAATTGCATTATATTTAAGTCGTTTTGTAAAATAAGTCATAGCATGTTTCAGATTATAAAAAATCCCAGGAAATATGGTAAATAGAAAAATAAAACCACTTTTAGAAACAGAAAGTAGTAGATGTTCTGATACAGTTTCTCTTAGAATGTATCTGTTTTTTTCAGTGAATTCATGTATATATAACACAGGTACCTTGTGTCCTTTGAGCCCTCCAGGTCCATACCCGTCTCTTCCATCTTGTCCCTTTTTACATAAAGTCATACATTAGACTGGAAAGTCACACAAAAACTATTTCATATAGTTAAGATGGGCATTTTATAATTTTCAAGTCAGCAATGCATCAAATGCAACAACTGACCAGAGGCCCTTTGAATCCCTCTGATCCCAGTGTTCCCTTGAGCCCCGGGTCACCCGGTGGACCCTAAACACAAGCAGGGACAGTGTGAAAAGAGGAGCACAGAATTGCTCTACAACATTATATGGCTGCAGCACTTCTACACAACATACTGGAGACCAACCAGGTATTAAAGGAATAGTTCACACAAAAATGAAAATTTGCTGAAGATGTACTCACTCTCAGGCCATCCAAGATGTAGATGAGTTAGTTTCTTCATCAGAACAGATATGAAGAAATGTATAATTACATGACTTGTTCACCAATGGGTCCTCTGCAGTGAATGGGTGCCGTCAGAATGAGAGGCCAAACAGCTGATAAAAACATTACAATAATGCACAAGTAATCCACACCACTCCAGGCCATCAGTTAATGTCTAGTGAAGTGAAAAGCTGCGTGTTTGTCAGAAACAAATCTATCATTAAGATTCAAACTATTCCTTCCATTGCTAAAATATGAGTCCTCTATCCATAATATATTGCTTTAAATTATGGTCTTCTCTAAATCAGGAGAGAAATATGCGCAGATCAAGAACCTTTTACAAGTGGAAACAGTCCAAAACACATCTAAACAAATATGACTTGAGGATTATTGTGATGTTTTTATCAGCTGTTTAGACTCTCATTCTGACGGCACCCATTCACTGCAGAGGATCCATTGGTGAGCAAGCGATGTAATGCTAAACTTCTTCAAATCTGTTTCGATGAAGAAACAACCTCATGCATTTTTCACAGAATCAGGAAAAGAGAAAGAAGGAAGTAAGAAGAAAACTTCAATACAACAGTCTTCCATACCCTTGGCCCTCTGGATCCTCGACCTCCCTTTGAACCTTCAGGTCCAGGTGGGCCAAAGGGACCCTATGAAAACACACATGATTCTCTCAACATTCATGTGTTTTATATCATATGCTTTATACTCTAAGGGTAAAACATGAACATGCAACTATATGAGGCGCCACGCAGGATAAACTTGATCCATGTATACACACCTATAAACACTCGCACATAAATATAAACTCAATGTTTATTTTGTATGTTCAATACATACAAAATAAAATTCACAAACGTATTCAATTCTGAAAGACGCATGCTTTAGTTGTGTTGTATATACAGTACATATATGCAAGTGATTTGATATATGAATGTGCGTGAACATTTCAGTGCAAACGGAAGGCATCTCAGTGTAAATTTTATTTTGTACGTATGCGCCGAGTGTTTTATGGATGTGAATGCTCGCATCGAGTTTATATTGATGTGCGAGTGTTTATAGGTGTATATATATATATACATGGATCAAGTTTATATGTATATGCGAGTATATAGGTGTGTCTGCATGCAGCGAGTTTATATGTATGTGCGTGTGTTGTTGTAGGTGTATATGCATGGATCGAGTTTATATGTATAAGCGAGTGTCTATAGGTGTATGCATGCATCAAGTATATATGTATACGCGGCACCCATTCACTGCAGAGGATCCATTGGTGAGCAAGCGATGTAATGCTAAACTTCTTCAAATCTGTTTCGATGAAGAAACAACCTCATGCATTTTTCACAGAATCAGGAAAAGAGAAAGAAGGAAGTAAGAAGAAAACTTCAATACAACAGTCTTCCATACCCTTGGCCCTCTGGATCCTCGACCTCCCTTTGAACCTTCAGGTCCAGGTGGGCCAAAGGGACCCTATGAAAACACACATGATTCTCTCAACATTCATGTGTTTTATATCATATGCTTTATACTCTAAGGGTAAAACATGAACATGCAACTATATGAGGCGCCACGCAGGATAAACTTGATCCATGTATACACACCTATAAACACTCGCACATAAATATAAACTCAATGTTTATTTTGTATGTTCAATACATACAAAATAAAATTCACAAACGTATTCAATTCTGAAAGACGCATGCTTTAGTTGTGTTGTATATACAGTACATATATGCAAGTGATTTGATATATGAATGTGCGTGAACATTTCAGTGCAAACGGAAGGCATCTCAGTGTAAATTTTATTTTGTACGTATGCGCCGAGTGTTTTATGGATGTGAATGCTCGCATCGAGTTTATATTGATGTGCGAGTGTTTATAGGTGTATATATATATATACATGGATCAAGTTTATATGTATATGCGAGTATATAGGTGTGTCTGCATGCAGCGAGTTTATATGTATGTGCGTGTGTTGTTGTAGGTGTATATGCATGGATCGAGTTTATATGTATAAGCGAGTGTCTATAGGTGTATGCATGCATCAAGTATATATGTATACGCAAGCTATAAACAAGTGTATATGTATTCATTACTAACATAAGATGCATTGGTATGGATTTCATATTAGTGTGCACGTGTATTTCATATATATTTTTGAACATCCAATAGTATACATGTATATGTGAGTAATTTATAGGTGTATATGCACGTGTTTTATGTGAGTTGATAAGCGAAGTTTGATTTAAATCCTACGTGGCGCCTCATACAACTAGTTTAATCAACTGAATACACACCTGAATTCCAGGTGCACCCGGAGGACCATTGTCTCCTTGGAACCCTTTTGAACCTGGTGGTCCCTGAACAAACAAATAAATAAAAGATCAGGGAGGTATAACAGGTCATAGAATCAAACACTAACATCGGACATCTCTTATCTGTGCGTTTCTTTTTAAATAAAGGTGAAATGTCCTAGTTCTCACCACTTGTCCAGAATAACCAGGAATCCCTCGCTGTCCAGCGTCTCCTTTTTCATTTGAAGAGTCACCCTATACAGATACACACATTTACCATTACCACATTACAACAGCAGAACAGAATAGATTACATAATATAATAAATATCACATGCAACAACAATAATAATGGAATTTCTATTTGAATAGTATATTAGAATTGAAAGGAGAAAAACAGAATAAATTAGAAAAGAACAGAATAGATTTAATATAATACACAACAAAATCATAATAATAATAATTATTATTATTATTAATTACACAAGAATATTAGAAACAATAGAATATGCTAGAATTAAGAGTAGATCAGAACAGACAATATTAGAAAAAATGAAATAGATTCAATTAAAACACAACCAAGTAGAATAGAATAGAATAGAACAGAATCTTTGTTTGTTTTTTCATGCTACATTACCGGCAATCCTGGTCGGCCTTTTCTTCCTGGAGCACCCTACCAAAATACACTGAGAAGTTATCTGAAGTTATCTGTTATCTTATATAAAACATCTTTATACCTATTTAATTAATTTTATTATAAGTTGTTTTTTTAATATATATTTTAATCTATTTTAAAATGATATTTTTCCTGTGATGCAAGGCTGAATTTTCAGCACCATTACTCCAGTCTTCAGTGTCACGTGATCCTTCAGAAAACATTCTAATATGCTGATTTGGCAAGAAAACGTTTTCATTATTATCACAGCTGAAAATGGTTACGTTGCTTAATGAAAGTGTGCAAACCAAGATACGGTGTCTTTTTTCAGGATTCTTGGACAAACAGTAGGTTTGAAAAGCAGCATTTATTAAAAACAGAAATCTTCTACAACATTATAAATGTATTTACTATCAGTTTTGATCAATTTAATGTGTCCTTTTTGAATAAAAGTATCAGTTTCTTTAAAAAAAGAAAACTAATTTAACCCAGTCTTTTGAATGGTAGTATATATCTTCCTGTAGCACCTGTAAAATCTAAAATGCAATATGATATTGTGTACAAATGTGTTAAGATTAGATTATTAAGCTATCTCAGGATAGCGTGACACTGAATAGTACAGAGACTATACACTTTCAGAAAAAAGTACAAAACTAGGATTGTTCTCTTTAAAAGGGTTATAGTATGTACATTTTAGGTACTAATATGTACCATTTTAGAGGTAAATAAGGTACAAAGATGTACCTTTTAGCTTTTGTACCTTACAATACCGCATCTGTGACAGCTTTATACCTTTTTTCTGAGAGTGTAGTTACAGTTAGAAGCCACTACAGTACTAGTACAGGTAATACTCACAGGATCACCGTTATCTCCAGGTCTGCCTGGGGGTCCACCATCGCCCTGGTCCCCCTGACAACAGCACACAGTCATAACACACTTTTACTGATACTATTCACACATCGGATAATCTTGAAACACGTTGAAAAAAAAAAAAAACGTTCTAAATCTGATATGTTTCTCATATTTGGTCACCTGATTCTATTTCATTAAACCTCTTAATTAGGTATTTTTTAATCAAAAAAGTTAAAGTGAGAACAATTGGTGACATCAGCCAAGGAGGAAAGTCATTTCAGAGGGGAAGCAGCAACAAGCGTGTCATGTCAAATTGCTCAGATGTGTTAGTGGAGTTAAAAATAACAACTTTAAACATACAGTATATAATTAATCACAACTGTGAGCGTGCTAACTTTGACAGCCAAATAAAACAAATGGAGACGTCCGTCGTGCTTGCCAGTCTTGTTGACAAATAAAGGCTATACATTTATTTTGTGTGATTTCACAGTTATGTCTGCTTCAAGTTATGTAGACTACTATCTAAGGAATTGCACAAAATTCGCTAAAAGATCTCAGCTGGAATGTTATTATACCTGTTAGCATATATACGTATATATATATATATATATATATATATATATATATATATATATATACACACACATACACACAAACACAGTTATCAAAATAAATACATTTAAAATTATTTGAAAGACACTCAAAACAAAACAATTCTATAGGATGTGTTAAAAAAATGTGATGTGATGTGATGGCTGTTTACTCTGGTTTGTTCATTTACATACGCCATTTCATCAGATTTGTAAGGTAAATCATTTATAAACCTACACAAACACAGGAGAATACATCAATATCTTTCTGAACATGCTAACTGTTCATTGTGACTTCAAAATAAAAGCTCAAACTCTCACTCTGAGTTTACACGTTTTTTAATGTCCACATATTCAAGAAATTACAGTGGCTATAGCATTTCTGTCTTAAAGAAATGGCCCAATATTACAGATTAAGTGGACATTTGAATTAGATGTTTTTTAGTCAATATTAAACAAAGATTAGATCGCGCAGCACTGGTAGTGTGCATGCATAATAACACAGGATGAATGTAATTATACAGCATCTGATTTACAGCACATCGTTAGAAACATTCTGTCACTCAAATTGAGTTAACATTTTCCAGAAGGAGTATAAAAGATGACCCTCACCGGGAGCCCAGTATCTCCCCTCTCGCCTTTTGTACCTGGAATTGTGTTGTCTATTCCTGGTGCACCCTATTAACACAAACAGAGAATCATATACAGACAAATCAAGTCAGGCAGTTTAGATGGCCAAAAACAGCTACTATAAACACAGAGAAATACTTACAGGATCTCCTCTCACTCCGCTGTGTCCGTCAGGTCCAGGACTGCCTTTGAAACCCTTCACGTTCTGAATAACAGAAATAATACTGTGAGGAAGCCACTGGGTTGTTTTTACATTTGTCCTGTTTATATTAACAGTGATACATAAGTAGACAGCTGTGATCAAACAAAACAGGCATTTGTAATGTGTGTGTGATAACGTAGTTACATTACTGCCCGGGTCTCCTTTAGGTCCTGGAAGCCCATTTAGGCCAGCATCACCCTGCACACAACAGAAACAGAGCAGAGTGATTCAATCAAATGACTCAATAACTCATTTAGTCACGATGCGGTGCTCGACTGAGCAGTTTCATAGGTCAAAAAAGAGAAATATAACCAAGGAAAACATGATTTTGTGTGCAAGTCGGATAATTTTGCATTAATATTTTAGTTTTGCGCAATATAATTTTAAATGTGTTTAAAGTTTTGATACATGCTTATTATTTTTTTTTAATGCATTATTACATTTGTGATTTACGCTTATTATTTTTCGATCCGTGACCATTTTTTGCTATTCTGAAAATATGTTGTGCAATATATTTTTACTTGCGTTTTTAAAGTTTGGTTTCACGCTTATTACTTTTTATTTGTCACTGCAATAATTTGGCGGAAAATTGATCCCATACATGACAGGCAAATAAATAAATAAACCAAAAGAGGGAATGTTATACTTTACGGAAGGTATAATTTTATATTTAATACAATTTAGGATTTTAATTCTGTTATTTTCAAAATCAGACATCAATAGTTGCATTTTCATGCATTTTGAATTGTATGTGAACTTTCTAGCATCCAAATAAGTGCCTATTACCAACGGTGACTTTGCTTATGTGTTTGTTTTCATGCACAAAAACAGAAAACGAGACTCAATCTGATTTGCACAGAACATATAGTACATTAATATAGTACATTCATTTTCATTTGTGATTCTGTGAATGTAAGTGTAGAAATAAATAAAGATGTGACCTGTTCTCCATCCACTCCATCCAGCCCATCCTCCCCATCTTCTCCCTGTCAGACAGAGGTCAAAGGGTCACACACACTTACAGTCTGTTTAGGGAAGTAATCAACAGCACTAAACAAATAAAACTTATACTTGTGCTTATGACCCTAATAAAATAATTTTGTCTTTTTCCGTGTATATTTTTGTCCGAACAGTAATAAATCAGACATCAATAGTTGCATTTTCATGCATTTTGAATTGTGTGTATGTGAACTTTCTAGCATCCAAATAAGTGCCTATTACCAACGGTGACTTTGCTTATGTGTTTGTTTTCATGCACAAAAACAGAAAACGAGACTCAATCTGATTTGCACAGAACGAAAGCCTGATTTCCATCTAGATATCAGTCCTATTTTTCTGTACATTTTCTATTTCTCTGTTTTTATATATATTTATGTTATATTTTAATATAGTACATTCATTTTCATTTGTGATTCTGTGAATGTAAGTGTAGAAATAAATAAAGATGTGACCTGTTCTCCATCCACTCCATCCAGCCCATCCTCCCCATCTTCTCCCTGTCAGACAGAGGTCAAAGGGTCACACACACTTACAGTCTGTTTAGGGAAGTAATCAACAGCACTAAACAAATAAAACTTATACTTGTGCTTATGACCCTAATAAAATAATTTTGTCTTTTTCAGTGTATATTTTTGTCCGAACAGTAACTGTTACAGCCAGTGAATAGAATAATAACTCGTGTTACTCACTTTATTTCCAGTGTAGCCTCTCTGGCCCTATTGAAATGAGATTTAAAAACATTTCCTTTATTCAGCACAGCTGTAAAACATAATCTCATCCGTCCTCATATACAGGAATATTAAACGCTGACATAAACATATCCTAGCCATGCAGTTAGTAATAGTCATGCTATACCTAAAACAATTCATTCAGTCACACGTAATGTATAAATGTGTTTGCACCAAATAACAAAAAATTTGTATATAAAAATTTTGGATTTGTTGATTAATCTTATTTTTAATGGTTACTTCTTGAAAGTAAAAACAGAAAAAGTACCAGTTTAATTAAAGTTCTATTAACAAGTGGTGTATGAAGAAATACAGTACTGTACTATTTTGCATACTAAGATAAATCCAGAAATTCCAAGCAAGGGCCCGTTCTTCATACGTGGATTACTCAGTTAGCTGGATTTTATTGTTGATGATTTGACATGATCCAGGATTGTGAGGTTCTTTGAAGCTAATCCTGGATTTGCTGTCATAATTTATAAAAAAAAAATTATAATAATACATTTTTTTTACAAGTTTACTCATGGAGGGTTTACTCATGAAGGAGTAACTATCTCAATTTTTTTGCAGTCATACACACATTACATACAGTTCTTCCGAGCCAGGCATTATTTGAATGGTGAGCTTTTATGCGGGTGGCTTTAATGCATCGCAGGAGATGCAGACTCACTTCTCAAATCTCAAAATGCTTTTATAATGCACAATTAATTTAAACACAGTCAGTTATGTCAGATTAAGAAACTTTAATTAATGCTCACGTATAATAAATCCACTTCAAAAGTAAATGAATTGCTCATTACAATACTTTTGACATGCAAATGCGAAGTCTGTATACAAATACTAGAAATGGTGAAAAATAATTGGGAATCATTTAACAAACAAATTGACATTTTATTAACTTTTTTGTCATTTTGCTTGCTTGGCTGTTTCATTGATCTTAATTACATGATGTCATTACGTTGCTGTCTCGCCACCAGCCAATCACTGCATTGCTGATCATGGTTTCGAGTATCGATATATCTGACCTTCCCAATGAGCATGTCAACACGGAGTAACTTCAGACAACTTAATCCAGATATTTGAATCAAATATGCTAACTTTTTGAAGAACATAATTAGCCAGAGATCAGTTATCACGATTAAATGATCTGGCATCTGTCATATCATCTCAGATGTATTAAGCGAGGCACGAAGAACGGACCCCAAACATTGCACTGATAAAAACGACATCAAGAGATGCATCTCCAATGATAATAATATGTTACATTACCTTTATTCCTCTGTTTCCAGGGCAACCGCTGTGTCCCTTAGTTCCATTCAGCCCTGGTGGTCCTCGCTCTCCCTGCCAGAAACAAGATGGGAGAAAGACCGTTTATCCATAGCATATACGGCCTACATCCTCTCTAAACAGCCTCATTGTTTATATGTAGGTATTAGTATGTAAAGTTTACAAGCACAAAATTAAAATTTTTGTATGTTTTGATTGATGCTGAAATGTACAATTTGGACGTATAACAACGTTTGAATTGTAAAATTACAATGTATTTACAGCTATAAAAAAAGGTTACATATTTACAAATCTTTTATATCATTAAGATATTTATATCAATGCATTTTTATAATTTTATCGAAAAGCAATTTCGATTTGTTTGCCTCCTTATTACCCCCAAACCTAAACCTACCCATTTTATAGCGAATATAAAAAGATATAAAACGTCTCGGACCAAAATATGCATAAAAATGATCATTTTAATATAGCATTAAAGAGATTTCTTCACTAATCCCATTCCTACCTCTAAACCTAACCATAACTATTGCTTAAAAATATGTTCAGTATAAGGAATACTGTAATGCAATCACAATAATTTTATTTATTTATTTTATGTTTTGTAGAATCACATTTTACATAAAATACATATGAATTCTCATGAGATCAGGTTGCTCTAAAACGTGTATTATTTACATGTTTATTGCACTTTATCTATTTGTGTCTGTAGATTTCAACACATATTCTTAAAATCGCTTTCCCAAAATGAGTTTTTCTCCACTTCAGTAGCCCTTGCATACACCAAACTTTCCCATCTATATTCTGACAGTTTTTACAGAAAGGTTTGTTCATATATAATTTGCCTTATTTTATATAACATTTTATTCCTAAAAACATGGTGATTTTTTTCCCTCTGATTTATGGAGAGATAAAGAGAAAATCCACTCTGTAAAAGCCTCTATGTCAACAAAATGAAACAATGAATTTTGAATAAATATTCAAATCAGATGAAAATCCAGTGATCAGATTTCTGTTCTGGAAATGTATGCAAATGTGTTAGATACACACAATCTCATTTGAATATTTAAACATGACTTTTCATAAATCTTATTCAAGAATTGCAATTCTTCATTTAATCAATCACCTGGGGAAGTATGGTGATATCTATTAGTTCATTTTTTTACCGTATTAATCTGTGATGTCTTGCCTTCAGTACATGTAGGCTGAAAGTTTCACTTACCATACTACCTTCATCTCCTGGAAATCCAGGATGGCCCTTCTGACCACCAAAGCCCTAAATTAAAAAAAAAAAAAAAAACAGGGATGCTGACACATAAAACCTGAATTTCTTTAAGGCATCATAGCCATGTTCCTGATGCGAAGGCCATTCAAAAAGCACACTGTCTTTTAAGATACCTCATTTTAGTTCCATTCTAAAGCAGCAATGTATTTATCATTGACATAATGAGAAAATGCATCAAGCTCAGTGAGAAAAAATCTGTCCAAGAGAGAAAAAATATGTAAATCCACAACATTTATTTTCTTCATTATCAGAATTGAGGGGCTTTGACCTTTTCACCCGAGCTTCCAGGGGGTCCTCGTGGTCCATCTTCACCGGTGCATGAACAAGGCACATTGCAGCATATCCTCAGCGCTACTGTTTCCTGAGGGGAGAGCAAGGCGCACAATGAGTGAAACTGTTTGTATTTTGTTGTTGAAGTCACAAGCCATGTATCCAATCGAATTTTAGGTTACTTTACTACAACTGTATCCGTCACTTGGTAGTAGCTTGAAAAATTACAGGTGATAACCCTGAAAACTATAAACACATATACAAAAGTTACAATCCAGACTACTTTAAATATTTGTCCAGTTGCAATGGTTTGTGTTGCCCACAATGTGTTTTGTGTGGTGATTAATAGTCTACCAAGAGCATCTGGAAATCAAAGATGTTAATAAACATCAATATTTGATGATTGTACAATAGACAATTTTGTGTGCAATGTAAAATGTGGCTCATGAAGACCACAAGAAAAAAAGAAAGGCCACAGAGCAGAATTAATTCAAAATAGTAGAAGAGCTCATTTATTTAATGAGAAGATAAAAAAATGAATAAAGCTGACAACACTATTTTATCTAAACAAGTTCAAGGGATGTAGCTATGAAAAGCCTTCATTTAAAATACACAAAATACAATTTTTGTTTCAATACAAAATTTCTTTCAGAAGAGCTGCTGTTGAGTAATTGATGCAATTTGTGCATATGATGTATAAAAAGAAAAAGAAAACAGGAAAGCCTGGCTAGAACTGCAAAATGCTACTTTACTTTGAGTGAACAGCGCCTTTAAGCATTGTTTTGATACTTACAATCTCTTTCATAAGAGCGTTGCCTAAATTTAGCATGTTGATGGTCAGTGGCTGCATGTAGCCGGAACCTCTGCCAAATTCCAGCTGGTGAACGTCCATTATGCCCTCCAAAGACACAATCAGCAGTGCACTGACCCCTAGTTTACACATCAGAAATGAGCACACATGGGTTTAGTACAGAGTGACTGCAGAAAAAAAAATGGTTCAGGGTCACAGTCTTTGCCTTAAAATTTTCTAAATTAAAAAAAAAAAAAAAACAGGGATGCTGACACATAAAACCTGAATTTCTTTAAGGCATCATAGCCATGTTCCTGATGCGAAGGCCATTCAAAAAGCACACTGTCTTTTAAGATACCTCATTTTAGTTCCATTCTAAAGCAGCAATGTATTTATCATTGACATAATGAGAAAATGCATCAAGCTCAGTGAGAAAAAATCTGTCCAAGAGAAACAAAGCGAGAAAAAATATGTAAATCCACAACATTTATTTTCTTCATTATCAGAATTGAGGGGCTTTGACCTTTTCACCCGAGCTTCCAGGGGGTCCTCGTGGTCCATCTTCACCGGTGCATGAACAAGGCACATTGCAGCATATCCTCAGCGCTACTGTTTCCTGAGGGGAGAGCAAGGCGCACAATGAGTGAAACTGTTTGTATTTTGTTGTTGAAGTCACAAGCCATGTATCCAATCGAATTTTAGGTTACTTTACTACAACTGTATCCGTCACTTGGTAGTAGCTTGAAAAATTACAGGTGATAACCCTGAAAACTATAAACACATATACAAAAGTTACAATCCAGACTACTTTAAATATTTGTCCAGTTGCAATGGTTTGTGTTGCCCACAATGTGTTTTGTGTGGTGATTAATAGTCTACCAAGAGCATCTGGAAATCAAAGATGTTAATAAACATCAATATTTGATGATTGTACAATAGACAATTTTGTGTGCAATGTAAAATGTGGCTCATGAAGACCACAAGAAAAAAAGAAAGGCCACAGAGCAGAATTAATTCAAAATAGTAGAAGAGCTCATTTATTTAATGAGAAGATAAAAAAATGAATAAAGCTGACAACACTATTTTATCTAAACAAGTTCAAGGGATGTAGCTATGAAAAGCCTTCATTTAAAATACACAAAATACAATTTTTGTTTCAATACAAAATTTCTTTCAGAAGAGCTGCTGTTGAGTAATTGATGCAATTTGTGCATATGATGTATAAAAAGAAAAAGAAAACAGGAAAGCCTGGCTAGAACTGCAAAATGCTACTTTACTTTGAGTGAACAGCGCCTTTAAGCATTGTTTTGATACTTACAATCTGTTTCATAAGAGCGTTGCCTAAATTTAGCATGTTGATGGTCAGTGGCTGCATGTAGCCGGAACCTCTGCCAAATTCCAGCTGGTGAACGTCCATTATGCCCTCCAAAGACACAATCAGCAGTGCACTGACCCCTAGTTTACACATCAGAAATGAGCACACATGGGTTTAGTACAGAGTGACTGCAGAAAAAAAAATGGTTCAGGGTCACAGTCTTTGCCTTAAAATTTTTGTGGAAGAAAAGACCCACAAAAAAGGCAGGGAAAGCATGGCACAGGCATTCATGGGGGCTACTTATACAGGATTGCTAATTAAAGCTGCTTTCCATAACTTTTTTGGTTAAAAATTATCCAAAATCAAACATTGAGCAAGTACATAACCAATCAGTGTTCAATCTTCTAACCTGAGCCCGATTAACAATGGTAAGCTTGTAATAATGTTTTCTAATTTGAATGGTTCCGGGTCATTCATCTTTGCATCATTACGTCACGTCTGTATACATAATTAAGCAGTCCCAGCCAGTAGGCTATATTGCGTGTGTAGATGCTTACAGCATTCTTACAGACTATTCAGATTACAGATACGTGGGATTACACTGTACTTACAAAATATTTGTATTTCAAAGAGAATGAGTTCTAAGGAACATTAAATTGCTTTTTGAGGTTAAAAGAACAATTTATTTCAATGACATTCGAGTGGTATGACAATTAGATTAGACTACAGAAATTGAAATCTACAGAGAACGCTACACACTACAATTGACTTTGAAAACGTAAGTATCTGAAAACAATGATGCATGTTAAGCCTGTGATATTGTACATATAGATATCTATATCATACACTATATCATAGTGTTGTTAAAGATAATGTTACATTGCACTTAATATCACATTACTATTAATATTACATTCCTGCAAATATGACAGAAATTTACACACAATTGCTGTTCTGCGGCAAAACACATCAACTGTGCATCTGAATATATGGAATAGTGATTTTAAGCGTGACTTGGATGCGCCAGCAAGTGGAGGGATAAATCCAGATTAATGTGGACGTAGCCAAAGACATCACTTACCACTTTGCTTAAGTCTCTCTGAACTCGCCATTAAACGCTGAATGTCATCATCCAACCCATCTGTGAAGATTATCAAAACCTAAACACAAACATATGATTAAATGTCAGGGAATTGTAAACACTGTTTTCAGACTACCATAAACTAAATAGCAATAAATATTAAATGCCATCTAGGTGCCCGATATGAATCTAAGTGACCAAAGGAAAAAAAAGAAAAAGTACACCACAGAGCTGAATCTGATTTCCCAACCATGTATGGCTGGTCTCTTCCATCGATTGTCATTTACAGCCTGTTGTAGATCCTGCTGCATAATAGGAAATTAGCATTTTTAAAATTCATAATTTTTCCAGTAGTGCTCTTGCTGATGCAATTTCATCTTAAAGCATAATTTTGGGTAAAAATATCATGCCAAACGCCAAGTGCATAGTGTTTCTTTGTTCGTAAAAAAAATTGTTCAAAATTTCTTATGAAAGTATCTCAGTAAAACATCACAAAAATAAAATAATTTGAAAATAATATCAGCAGAGGTGCTCTTGCTTAATTAAGGGAATATTAACAAAGAATAGAATATATAGTTGACATTTTGATGGTCAGTTTTATATCTCGAAAACACTCCCACCTTTGCCTTGGCTTTGGAGGAGGCTAACATTTCTTTGAAGGAATCTAACAGAACCCCGTTGAAGGCCAGGGTTGTAGGTCTCAATAACATCAACTTCTTGACCACATCCTCGTTGTACTTCTCAAAGCCAAAATCATCAAGAACACTCCCATCCCGCCCAGACACAAGCCTATAACCAAATCTAGTTGTAATCTTGTCCTTCATGATGCAGCACAGATCACCCATCATGGAGATACGGTGGATGGCTGCAGAAACCAACGGTTCCACCTGAGGTCTGAACAGAGTTTGTGTGCTTGTCCGTCTGGACACGTCAAACCCAAAGGCAATGTCAATATCACAGTCTGTTCGAACAAAACAATGGGTCACAATCTTCAAGAAAGATTACAGACAAAATATTATACATGCTTATCATTAATAAATATGCATACATACTATATTTGTACAGTCTACAGTATATTACCATGTTAGAGAAAGTTTTAACAACAGATTCCCAAAATCACAGAACAGTTTCCTAATTAACTTGCAGCATATCCTCAGCGCTACTGTTTCCTGAGGGGAGAGCAAGGCGCACAATGAGTGAAACTGTTTGTATTTTGTTGTTGAAGTCACAAGCCATGTATCCAATCGAATTTTAGGTTACTTTACTACAACTGTATCCGTCACTTGGTAGTAGCTTGAAAAATTACAGGTGATAACCCTGAAAACTATAAACACATATACAAAAGTTACAATCCAGACTACTTTAAATATTTGTCCAGTTGCAATGGTTTGTGTTGCCCACAATGTGTTTTGTGTGGTGATTAATAGTCTACCAAGAGCATCTGGAAATCAAAGATGTTAATAAACATCAATATTTGATGATTGTACAATAGACAATTTTGTGTGCAATGTAAAATGTGGCTCATGAAGACCACAAGAAAAAAAGAAAGGCCACAGAGCAGAATGAATTCAAAATAGTAGAAGAGCTCATTTATTTAATGAGAAGAAAAAAAAATAAAAAAATTAATAAAGCTGACAACACTATTTTATCTAAACAAGTTCAAGGGAAGTAGCTATGAAAAGCCTTCATTTAAAATACACAAAATACAATTTTTGTTTCAATACAAAATTTCTTTCAGAAGAGCTGCTGTTGAGTAATTGATGCAATTTGTGCATATGATGTATAAAAAGAAAAAGAAAACAGGAAAGCCTGGCTAGAACTGCAAAATGCTACTTTACTTTGAGTGAACAGCGCCTTTAAGCATTGTTTTGATACTTACAATCTGTTTCATAAGAGCGTTGCCTAAATTTAGCATGTTGATGGCCAGTGGCTGCATGTAGCCGGAACCTCTGCCAAATTCCAGCTGGTGAACGTCCATTATGCCCTCCAAAGACACAATCAGCAGTGCACTGACCCCTAATTTACACATCAGAAATGAGCACACATGGGTTTAGTACAGAGTGACTGCAGAAAAAAAAATGGTTCAGGGTCACAGTCTTTGCCTTAAAATTTTTGTGGAAGAAAAGACCCACAAAAAAGGCAGGGAAAGCATGGCACAGGCATTCATGGGGGCTACTTATACAGGATTGCTAATTAAAGCTGCTTTCCATAACTTTTTTGGTTAAAAATTATCCAAAATCAAACATTGAGCAAGTACATAACCAATCAGTGTTCAATCTTCTAACCTGAGCCCGATTAACAATGGTAAGCTTGTAATAATGTTTTCTAATTTGAATGGTTCCGGGTCATTCATCTTTGCATCATTACGTCACGTCTGTATACATAATTAAGCAGTCCCAGCCAGTAGGCTATATTGCGTGTGTAGATGCTTACAGCATTCTTACAGACTATTCAGATTACAGATACGTGGGATTACACTGTACTTACAAAATATTTGTATTTCAAAGAGAATGAGTTCTAAGGAACATTAAATTGCTTTTTGAGGTTAAAAGAACAATTTATTTCAATGACATTCGAGTGGTATGACAATTAGATTAGACTACAGAAATTGAAATCTACAGAGAACGCTACACACTACAATTGACTTTGAAAACGTAAGTATCTGAAAACAATGATGCATGTTAAGCCTGTGATATTGTACATATAGATATCTATATCATACACTATATCATAGTGTTGTTAAAGATAATGTTACATTGCACTTAATATCACATTACTATTAATATTACATTCCTGCAAATATGACAGAAATTTACACACAATTGCTGTTCTGCGGCAAAACACATCAACTGTGCATCTGAATATATGGAATAGTGATTTTAAGCGTGACTTGGATGCGCCAGCAAGTGGAGGGATAAATCCAGATTAATGTGGACGTAGCCAAAGACATCACTTACCACTTTGCTTAAGTCTCTCTGAACTCGCCATTAAACGCTGAATGTCATCATCCAACCCATCTGTGAAGATTATCAAAACCTAAACACAAACATATGATTAAATGTCAGGGAATTGTAAACACTGTTTTCAGACTACCATAAACTAAATAGCAATAAATATTAAATGCCATCTAGGTGCCCGATATGAATCTAAGTGACCAAAGGAAAAAAAAGAAAAAGTACACCACAGAGCTGAATCTGATTTCCCAACCATGTATGGCTGGCCTCTTCCATCTATTGTCATTTACAGCCTGTTGTAGATCCTGCTGCATAATAGGAAATTAGCATTTTTAAAATTCATAATTTTTCCAGTAGTGCTCTTGCTGATGCAATTTCATCTTAAAGCATAATTTTGGGTAAAAATATCATGCCAAACGCCAAGTGCATAGTGTTTCTTTGTTCGTAAAAAAAATTGTTCAAAATTTCTTATGAAAGTATCTCAGTAAAACATCACAAAAATAAAATAATTTGAAAATAATATCAGCAGAGGTGCTCTTGCTTAATTAAGGGAATATTAACAAAGAATAGAATATATAGTTGACATTTTGATGGTCAGTTTTATATCTCGAAAACACTCCCACCTTTGCCTTGGCTTTGGAGGAGGCTAACATTTCTTTGAAGGAATCTAACAGAACCCCGTTGAAGGCCAGGGTTGTAGGTCTCAATAACATCAACTTCTTGACCACATCCTCGTTGTACTTCTCAAAGCCAAAATCATCAAGAACACTCCCATCCCGCCCAGACACAAGCCTATAACCAAATCTAGTTGTAATCTTGTCCTTCATGATGCAGCACAGATCACCCATCATGGAGATACGGTGGATGGCTGCAGAAACCAACGGTTCCACCTGAGGTCTGAACAGAGTTTGTGTGCTTGTCCGTCTGGACACGTCAAACCCAAAGGCAATGTCAATATCACAGTCTGTTCGAACAAAACAATGGGTCACAATCTTCAAGAAAGGGTATAGACAAAATATTATACATCTATGGAAGGATATTCCGGATTATTTTCAAAAAGAATTGCAAATTGTATTTTCAATTGCATTTTCCAAATGTGGATGCATTAATTGTGACATAATCCAAACGCAATTGCAAATCTTGCATTACCGTTTGCGCTTTCGCGAGCAGACAGTGACTGCCAAATTTCAAATGGAAAAGCAAAGTCCGTTTGCAACTGTATTTCCCCAGGTCTTACGAGTTATGAGCCTGTCGATGCTATTTAAATAGCAATAATAATTAACACGTCTGCTTTTTCACTCTCTCTGTGTCGTGCATGTAACCTGCCAAAACTCAAACAAAATCACAATTGCTTTTTCATTTGAATTTCCGATGCCTTACACGGAGACCTGTCAATCAGTGTCAAGGGTGGGACTATATTATGGGCCGTGTTTGTATTGCGAAGTGACGTCACTCACAGACAATTGTGCCGAATGCTTTGAACAATGGAACTCTAAAGGCAGCTGCCAATCCGATAGATGCATGTGAAAGAACAGACAGTACAACCTGGGTCTCCTTATATTCTTGGCACCTTAAACAAAAAATTATTCTGTAGTTTTTATCCCAAATGCAGCAACTATCCCCTGCTAACAGCGGGAGCCACAACGGTACGCACAATAGGTCAATATTCACCATTAACCAAACGCTTTTCACCTGTCTCAAGATCTCTCACTGTTTACACTCCAATTCATGCATGTGACCATACAGAAAAGGCTGCTATTTTTACTCTGCCTGCCCCAGATGACACTTCACCAGTCAGATCTAGGCGCAGCTGTCACAGAACATGCCACAGCCAAAGTGAGTTATTATTTAAAATCATGTGCATCAATCAGTTTCCAGTTTGACAGTGAGAGATGTTGAGGCAGGCGAGATGCTTAGGTGCCACTGGGCATGCGCTCCATAATGGATTAAAAGAGAGGAAAAAATATAAGGTAAGTTGGCAAATAGGTAAATAAGTGTAGATTTGCACTGTCTGTTTGCTTACATGCATCAATTGGAGTGCAAACAGTAACAGGCTGGCGTGACGCTTAGGTGCCACTGGACACATGCTCCATTTTGGATTGAAAGGGAGGAAAAAATATATATGGTAAGGTGGCAAATAGGCAGGCTAATAAGAGTAGAAGGAGAGGCAGGTCGCAACCATTGCACTGCATGTTTGCTCATGTGCATCAATCAGAGTGAAAAGTGTTAATGGTGAATATTGACCTATTGTGATTACCGTTGTGGCTCCCCATAGCAGGGGATAGTCGCTGCATTTTGGGTAAAAACAACGTAATTGTTTTTTGTATAAGGTGCCAAGAATATAAGGAGACCCGTGTTGCATTGTCTATTTGTTCACATGCATCTATCAGATTTGCAGCTGCCATTGTTCAAAGCATTCGACACATTCGTCTGTGAGTGATGTCACTTCCCAATACAAACACGGTCCATAGTATAGTCCAAGCCCTGACAGGTCTGATTGACAGGTCTCCGTGTAAGGCATCAGGAATTCAAATGCAAAAGGAATTGCAATTCCATTTGAGTTTTGGCAGGTTACATGCACGACACAGAGAGAGTGAAAAAGCAGACGTGGTAAATAATATCGCTATTTAAATATGACAGGTTCATAACTCGTAAGACATGGGAAATACTTTTGCAAACAGACTTTGCTTTTCCATTTGAAATTTGGTAGTCACTGTGTGTTCGCGAAAACGCAAACGGTAATTCAAGATCTGCATTTGGATTATGTCACAATTAATGTGCCCACATATGGAAAACGCAATTGAAAATACAATTTGCCATCCCTTTTGAAAATAGTCCGGAATATCCTTCCATATACATCATTATCATTATCATTAATGTAAATGCATGCATATGTACACTCCTCCTATATTACCAGGTTAGATTATTTTTTTAAGAAGTAAGGGATTCCCAAAATCGCTTAAAGTGGTGTTATTATGCTTTTTCACTTTTTCAACTTTAGTTAGTCTGTAATGTTGCTGTTTGAGCATAAAAAAGATCTGCAAAGTTACAAAGCTCAAAGTCCAATTCAAAAGGAGATATTTTATTTAACAGATATCACTTTTCAAAAACTACAATGAACGACTCGTTTGGACTACAATGCAAATTTTCCGGGATTTGTGATATCACAAATATCGACGAATGGGACGAGACCTGGTTGAGCTGCACTAGAGAAGGCAACGAGTGTTATCACTATGTCGGAGACACGCTAGTTTTCCCAAGGCAGACGAACTTAGAGTCGTTACAATCATCCGGGTTTAAATCGTGCTCAAATTGATTTGATTTGGACACAATATTTACACTGAAGCTCGCAGGCGGCTGTGGTACGGGGCGTGACATTTCCCGACCAGGCGCCGAGTGCTGCCAATCAACACACACTGAGCCTGTTCTAGTACACCCCCAAACCAAGATCAAGACTTTGTAAAAGAGCATAATAGAACCCCTTTAACAATTTTCTACTATCTACAGGTGATTAAAACAAAGGATTCATCTAATGGATATTAATGTTTTTATCATATATAATGTTTAATCTTTTGAAAATTGTGGATGTACATTTTGATTGATTGATTTTAATCGACTAGTGTGCATCAGACCTCTCCAGATAACTGCTTTTTGAATAATTGTTTTTAAAACAACAGTAATTGGAAGAACCTTTCTAAAGATATCAAGCAAAAGACATATGCTGAAATAAAAAGCGTAAATTAAATGATAGATTTAGTCAAAGAAATTGTTAAAATCAGTTAATCAGTTAACATCTACATCCCTAGTGAAAATCAAAGACAAGATAGAAGATTTGGTAATATTCACATGTTCAATGAGGTCAGAAATTTGTGGAAGTTTAGAACAAATCTTACTGAACTTGGGTCTTTGAGTTCTGAAAGTTATATGTTTTGTCAAAACATGTTACTTTCATTTAAAAATTAAATGAAATTTAAATTACATTATTTCTCATCAAATTTACTTTCCATCTTCCTATTAACTATTGCTCTGTTCCAAAACCTGTTGAGCTTCCTCATCAAGCAGCAGGTCATAAAATAATGGCCATAATAAATAGTCATTTGGAGGCAGGTGACAGATCATCAGGTTTAGGAACCGAGCTTAGATGTCGAATATTTGGTATTTAAAATAATTATGAATTATGAATACTATAAAAAACTAGTCACTTACCTTGTGTAGGATCATCCTGACTTGAGTCTGTACAGAGTAAATTTAACACTTTCCTTTTGGTTGTCATCAGTTCAAGGTCATCAAACGATTCAATAAAGAGCCGATTATTTCCAGCTATTTTCTGCAGCTCAGTTTTATTTATGTCTTTGCCTATCCCAATGGCAGTTATTGATATGCTTTTGTCTCTGAGATACTCTACTGCATTCAAATCTTCCGTATCTTTAGCATGTCCATCTGTGATCAGCAGGAGATTCTGAGCGACTCTTTCCTCTATTCTGGATCCATTACCTTTTGTGAAGAAGTATCTAATATTTTTCAGGGCGTCCCAAGTACTTGTGCCCTGGTTTCGTTGAGTAATATTTTGTATTTCTTTCTTCATGTCTGCAAAACTAGTGTATGTGTTCAGGTAAAAGTGACGCTGGAATATATCGCTGAACTGGGCAACACCCACTCGCCATTTGTCTTGAGCAATATCCAGCTCTCTCACAATGGCAATCATGGTTTTTTTGAGAATATTCCAACTTGTACTTTGAATAGAATCTGATCCATCAATTAAAAAAACAAGGTCTGAGAGCGTCTTCTCACAAACTAGAAAGAGAAACAAACAAACAAAAACATTAGGACTACATTAATGGACAGTTCTGTAAAGCAATATTGAAACTGTAGATTAGCAGGCCACAAGTTTCTCATTATTTAGGGGCTATTTACACTTGGTCACTTCAGATCACACATTTGTACCGATAGTTCAGTAGGTGGTCTAAGACAGTGGTTCCCCTGATCCCGAAGGGTCACGTAGACTAGGGCTGTGCAAGAGAATAACTTTGATGATCTGTGTGCAAACAGGCAGGCCTGTCTTTAAAAAGGGCAGGAAGTAAAATTATTTTTTATTTATGACAAAAATTCAGATGTTTTCTAATATTCTAATATTAACTTGTCAAATGCGGGTGGATTTCAGCAGTGGCGGGTAGCATGGTCACTCCCACTTTGATGGGTTGAATTTTATATACATTAACAGAGCTTGACATTAATGCTTGTCTGAGACAAGTGGATTTTTTTGAAGGGGCATGTGAAAGAGAATTTTACATGCCTGACCGGACAATTAACCTAATTAATACATCTAATTAGGGAAGCACTGAAATTTTGGCGAGAGTGATTCTAATTTTATTACATTTGGTGTAAACGGTGATTGATAATGTATCATTGATAATGTATCATTGAGTCGGACTCATAACCCAAAGGTCCGAACCCCTTACATTGATACATTATACATTGATAATGTATAATTTCCAGCTATTCACCGAACCCCCAACTGCTCCCCGGGCGCCGCAGCATAAATGGCTAATGTATTGAAGGTAACAAGGTTGCACCAGATGAGGTTCATGCAGCCTGTGTGTGAGACAATCTCATGGAGAAATCAAAACAACTGAACACAACTGCACACAGAAGAGAAGAAACATACTGCGGTAAAAATTTCGTTTTTTTTATATTTATAACATGACACGACCAAGAGAGTGCAGTTTTCCCTGAAAGCCAGGGCCCGTATTCTTAAAGATTCTAAGAATCCTCTCAGAGAGCTCCTAATTTAGCTTAAAAAATTTCTAACTAGGAGTCTTAGCTTAAAAGTGATTCAGGACCAATCTGAGAGCAACTCTGAGCAAGGAATAGACAAAAAACTTTTATCTTAGTGAGGAGGCGGGGCTGACCCCGTTGCTAGCTATGACACAGCCTTTGTCCAAATACCCACACTTGCAGTCTTTGCACTTGACCACTTGATTACTTAAATGACGTATTTCCTGTATTTGGCCGAAGTCTTCAAGTGAGCATGAAGACCACAAGTGTGTGTCAAACTTTTCATTACCCGATGGGACACACTTATAGTGTTGTAAAAATGCAAGTGTTTACACAGCTTTATTTTAATTTTTTATTTGAAATATTTTGCATTTAAAATCAACTTCTAAATGTCTGTTCAGTAGTCCCTATAACATGACATCATTTTAATTTGTGGTGCTTCTAATTAAATGATAAAAAGCAATTGCAAATGTTGTACAAAATAAATATCACCACAACTCATCTTTGCACCAATAAAATGTAAAAACACTGTTTTTCTACCAAATTATTTGAAATATCTAATTATTATATTAATATTTAACTTACACTGGAAAGGTTTCCGTGACCTCTCGCGAGATCTCGGCAAAAAGTCTCACGATTTATTTCCAGAACATGATGCGATACACTTAGCCTTGAATAGCACTCTGGAGCGGTATTTGAGATAGTGTGGATTTAGTATCCATTAAGGGCACTGCACTTTGGCATTTTGAAGACATGGGACAGCCTTGCACACTTACTTCCTGTCGCGCACACGCGCTCTCAAGTGGCCAAGACCGCAAGTATGGGTATTTGGACAAGGCCAATTCGCATACTATCCATTCTAAATAGTATTCAAAAATAGAATTAGTATGTCCCAAATCATAGTATGTTTAAAAAAGTATGCCAAAGATTCCCGGATGGTCTACTACTTCCGGTTAGAATTAGAAAGTGCAGATCGATGCACACAGATAGAACTACAAACATGCATTAAAAAAGTGTTAAAAAACTACAAACGGATTAATGGATAAACGGATTTGAGTGATAAATAATCAATGTCTAATGTCTAACTAATTAAAAAATATATAAATTTAATGTTATCCACGTTATATTTCATCTGCAGCAACACAGTGAACTTTTATAATGATACATTTAGTCATTAACTTTTAAATGCATCATTATGCAAACACATGAAGTGAGTTCTCGGCATGATAGACCCGCGACTAGCAGATCCCAAAGCTTGCCTACTATTCTTATACATACTCAAAAGTGTGTACTTTTTCTTCACAAAAAGAGTACATACTTTTAGGGCATAGTATAAGTAGGCGAATTGGGATGCAGCATGTGATTGGTTGGTTGTCCAAGAAGGAAATAAAAGAGCGCTTTAAGAGTAGGGTCTATTATAAGCCTTCACTTTGAAATTACAGGTGTAATTTTTCCTGTTTTACCATACTCTCTCTCTCTCTCTGTGCATGCGTGAGCGTTTGTTGAGCGTGTGAGTGGTACGGAGCGTGGTGAGTGCGTGAATTTTCTTTTGTGTGGCCACTGTGCCAAACAAAGTTCTTTCTTTTTTCTATCTTTTTTGGGGTTTTTTTCACTTGTATTAAGGTTTTTTTTGTAGTGTCGTGTCTCTGAAGGTTGTCTATCTGCCAGTATTTATTACTGGCAGAATGACTTCAGGTGTGAGGAGTTTAGATTTCCTCACACGGCATCATGCTGTGAAAATAGACTCGAAGGCTAGTGTTGAGGACTGTAGTCTAGTGGTGGCAGAGGTGGTTGGCTGTGAGAATGTTGTGTCAGCTTCGAGAATGAACAACGCGGTTGTTGTTTTTATGAAAACTGTTGAGTTGGCGATCGTCCTGGTTGAAAGTGGAGTCGTAATTGACAATGTGTTTGTTCCAGTGCTACCATTGTCTATGCCGTCAAAGAAGGTTATCCTTTCAAACATACCGCCTTTCATTAAAAATGAGGTGCTTGCACAAATGTTAGAGCGATACAGTAAATTGGTCTCCCCAATAAAAATTATTCAAATTGGTTGTAAATCGCCATTACTAAAACATGTAGTGTTGTTTAGACGCTTCGTGTTTATGATGTTAAAGGATAACAGAGAAGAGTTGGACTTAACGTTTAACTTTAAGCACGATGAATTCAATTATGGGATCTATGCCACTACTAATAACATGAGATGCCTTAGTTGTGGTGAAATAGGACACCTTGTGAGGGCTTGCCCGAGAAAAAAAGAAAAATCCAAGCACAATGTTTCGTCGGTCTCGGTTGAAAAGGCAGGTCTCGGTTGTTGTTTTTATGTATCTATGCTCCCACCAATGCAGTTGAAAGAATGTTTTTTATATATATATTATGTAAAGCAATAAGTGATTGTAACACTGAAGATTTGTTTTTAATAGGAGGGGACTTTAACTGTATGGAAAATGCCTCTGATAGGAATCATGTTGAGCCCCATATGGCTTCTTGAAGAATACTTATTAAATTAATAGAAATGCATGATTTAACAGACACGTGGAGAAATTTTCATAAGACACAGAGGCAGTTTACTTGGCTTCATATGTTGTCTTTAGCAAGGTTGGACAGATTTTATGGTTTTAGTCAGCAACTTAATATTTTCAATATTTTCAAATTGTTCTATTATTCCAGTCAGTTTTTCAGACCATAGTTTAGTGCAGTGTTTTTTAACTTTGGGATCCATAAAACCTAAGAGTGCATTGTGGCATTTTAATAATAGTTTATTAACTGATTTGGAATTTAGGAATTTTGGAATCTGAACTTTTAAGAAAGGAGACCTGAGTGACATAAAAAATTGGAGGCCTGTCTCTTTGCTATGCAGTGATTATAAAATTCTATCTAAAGCGTTAGCAAATAGATTAAGTAAGGTTTTAGTAGAAATCATTCACTCTGATCAGACTTATTGTGTTCCAGGTAGGCACATTTTTGATAATATTTTGTTTCTTAGAGACTTTCTTGATATTGGTAAGCTCTTGGACGTTAATTTTGGTTTAATATCAATAGAACAAGAAAAAGCGTTTGAAAGAGTGGAACATAGTTATTTATGGGATGTTCTAAAAGCTTTTGGTTTCAATAAAGTTTTTATTAATAAGTTAATAGTCTTATATTGTGATGTTGAAAGTTTGCTGAAGGTAAATGGTAACTTATGTGCCCCCTTTAGAGTTTTTAGAGGTATTAGACAAGGGTGTGCTCTGTCTGGTATGTTATATAGTTTGGCGATTGAACCTCTGTTGAGAAAGTTTAGAGAAGAATTAAAGGGTGTAAACATTCCCTATTGTGAAAATGTTTTTAAATTATCAGCTTATGCTGATGATATTGTCATTTTCATTAAAGAACAAAGGGATGTGAATAAAATGACAGAAATTGTATGTGATTTTATGACTGTATCTTCGGCTAGAGTAAATTGGAAAAAAAGTGAGGCTATCTTATTTGGTAAATGGCCAAATGGACAACCTGCCTGCTCTCCCTGTGGGGTTATAATGGAGCAAAGATGGGTTTCAAATTTTAAATACCTGGGTATATATCTGGGAGATGATATGAGTGTGAAAAATTTTTTGAAGGAGTAGAAGAAAAAATAGTGGGTCGTTTGAATAAATGGAAGTTTTTACTTTCCAATATGTCTTATAGAGGACGGGTTTTAATTATCAACAATTTGGCAGCCTCTACTCTTTTGCATTGGTTAACTTGTATTGATCCACCACCACTTTTATTAAAAAAAAGTTTAATAAAAGTCTATTTTAGTTAATTTCTTTTGGGATAACTTACATTGGGTTCCACAAAGGGATTTATTTTTGTCTAAAGATGAAGGGGGACAAGGTCTGACTCATTTGCAGAGTAGAGCGGCAGCTTTTAGGATAAAATGTGTACAAAGGTTCATTGATACTGAAAATTGGAGTTTGGCTGCTTCTATTATTTAAAAAAAATGGAAGGTTTGGGCTTGGACAAGTCTTTGTTTTGGATGAACCCTAAGAAGATGTCTGTATCCAAGTTACCTATTTATTATTGTAATTTATTTAAAGTGTGGTCACTTTTTTAAGTCTTGAGATATGAAAATACTGACTCTTTGTATTCGACTTTACAAGAAGCACTGATTTTTGGTTCACGTTTGGATGTGTCGAACAAAAACTATTTCCCTGTTTTGACAGACTTACTTATCAAGTCTCATGTCACTACTCTTGGGAGGCAAATTCATATAATTGGACCTGAACTTTCTAACACTAAAGCAATGGCGGAAAAGTTGAGTCTGAAGTCAATACAAGTAATAACTCAGCTGTTGAATAAGTGGAAAGAAAACATTACTGAAGAAGAACTTAAAATTATCAAAGACTTTGCAGAAGGGCAGACTCAGTGTCTCGTATCCGGTCCATGAACTTCCGTCTGCTAGCCATCAGAGGTCACCCTTCCCATTTCATTGACTCTTGCACTACACACTGTTGCATATCACCCCGGACTACATATCCCATCATCCACTACACTAACGACACACACACTGTTGATTGCACAGCACTGATTGCACACAGCTGTTATCACTCACACATCCCCTATTTAACTCTCACTCTGATCCCATTCCACTGCTGAGTATTGTTTAGCACTTATCAGTTTGATAGCTACACTACAGAGCCCTCGTCAGCTGCCTAGCCTAGCCTGGCCTGGCCTGGCCTGGCCTGGCCTGGCCTGGCCTGGCCTGGCCTGGCCTGGCCTGGCCTGGCCTGGCCTGGCCTGGCCTGGCCTGGCCTGGCCTGGCCTGGCCTGGCCTGGCCTGGCCTGGCCTGGCCTGGCCTGGCCTGGCCTGGCCTGGCCTGGCCTGGCCTGGCCTGGCCTGGCCTGGCCTGGCCTGGCCTGGCCTGGCCTGGCCTGGCCTGGCCTGGCCTGTTTTCTTGGTTTTTGATCTTCGCCTGTTTTCCTGGATTTATCCCTTTAGTCTTGTCCCTTTTGATTCTGTTCGCCGTTCGATGACCTTCGCTAGCCCTAGGATTATTCTTGTGTCTTGCCCGCCATATACCTGTTTGCCCTTGTTCGACCCTGCCTGTGTTTCTGACCTCTCTGATTAATAAAGCTTGCACATGGATCTGCATGTCTCACGTCTCATCGGCTCCGTAACAGAATACTCGGCCCCACAAGGATCCAGCAGCTTTTCATGTGAACATCGGCCAGGTATGGACACTGCAAGACTGTTATTAACCCTCGAGCAGGGCTTGTGAGCGCTCGAGGATTATGTACAAGAGTATTTAGTGTATGGTGATAAGAATAAGATTTACTTGGTTTGCAGAGCTCTTGGGAGACCTGTTTTTGTAGTCCACACAGATCCTGGTAGGTCTTTGCATAGTGCGCTGTTCCTTCATATCCCACCATCTCCTTTAGCTGTTCTACATCTGCATCTTCAGTACCAATAGCAAAAAAGATGACATTTGACTTTGCCAGGGATTCAAGCCATGTTGCCAGACCACTTAAGTCATTAACCGGGCCGTCTGTAATCAGAAATAGCACTTGGGGAACATTCTCTGCCGGTCGTCCACCATGTGTTTCACCAAAGTAGGAGAGTGCATAGTTCAGGGCTTGGACCGTGTTTCTGCTTCCTCCTGAAGCTTTGAGGTTTGAGATAACCCTCAGAATATCAATTTGACGGTCGTACTGTTTTAGTGTGAACTCCAAACGAGGGTTGTCAGAGTAGGTTGAATACAAACTTTTTATATGGATAGGATGCAATGTCTCTCAAGTCATCTTCCTCAGTGTCTTTGATACCAAATGCAAATATAGTGACGCCAGATCGCCGCAATGCTGTCGCAGCCCTGGCCACCTCATCTGTTGATTTCCCATCAGTGATAACAACAGCAACCTGCTGAACATGCTGATCTCTTCTGTGAGCGCTCGAGGATTATGTACAAGAGTATTTAGTGTATGGTGATAAGAATAAGATTTACTTGGTTTGCAGAGCTCTTGGGAGACCTGTTTTTGTAGTCCACACAGATCCTGGTAGGTCTTTGCATAGTGCGCTGTTCCTTCATATCCCACCATCTCCTTTAGCTGTTCTACATCTGCATCTTCAGTACCAATAGCAAAAAAGATGACATTTGACTTTGCCAGGGATTCAAGCCATGTTGCCAGACCACTTAAGTCATTAACCGGGCCGTCTGTAATCAGAAATAGCACTTGGGGAACATTCTCTGCCGGTCGTCCACCATGTGTTTCACCAAAGTAGGAGAGTGCATAGTTCAGGGCTTGGACCGTGTTTCTGCTTCCTCCTGAAGCTTTGAGGTTTGAGATAACCCTCAGAATATCAATTTGACGGTCGTACTGTTTTAGTGTGAACTCCAAACGAGGGTTGTCAGAGTAGGTGATGCCGCCAAATCGTACCCGTTTTTCTCCAACCACAGATTTGCTCACCACATATTTCATTAAGTTTATCATTTCTTGAAAGCCATCTTTATTGGAACTTCCAGCATCAACAAGGAAGATTATGTCAATCAATTGTGTCTTGCATGCTGGAAAGATATATGAAGTTTATGTTAGAAGTCATTTGGAAAAGTCACTTTAGCAGGAGACAAACACACTTTTGCTAATATTTGAAGTGGTTTTTACTATAATACGCATGAAAAATTACAAGCTTTTAGTGGATGTACACATTACAAATGTGCAATCCTTCTCTTTAGGCAAAACAGACATGAGCCATACAAATCTACATGCTACAGCTGGTCAGATTCAGATAGTCTCAGGGGACTTTGGAAATGGAACAGATTTTGAGTGTAAGATGTCATCAGTACTTTTGGTCCATTTTCATGGAGAAGGAAGACTATTATAAATGTTTGCACTTTTAGGAGTACACTTGCATGTAGATGCCCTCAAAGATAACAGACATTGACTAAAATATTTTTTTCAAGGGGTTTAACATCAACTGACTGAAGTTACTGACATGATGTGATCTCTCCTAAAAATCTCAGATTTGGTTTATGTACCTGTGTTGCAGATCTTGGGAATGATGGCATTGCTTAAGTCTTTTGGGGAAGTAAATCTGTCTTCAAAGAATGCTCCATCATGGGATCCATCACGGGATCCAGCAATGGCAAGAATCTGAGATTTGTCTGCATGTCTCATACCAATGGCATTAATGTTGATGAAATTGTCTCTCAACATTTTAGCAGGCTCAGCTACATCATCGCTACTCTCTCCATCTGTAAGAACTATCAAGAACTTTAAAGCACTGCAGCGTCCTCCTTTAGAAATGTCGAAAGATTGTAATACTTCTTTAAGTGCTTTTCCAGTGTTCGCTTTTCCATTCATCTGTTTAATATTTCTAATTTCCTGTAATAATACAGCTTTATCATTAAATGTATTTAAGGAAAACTCCTCCTTTGGGTCGGTGCCGTACTGAACAACCGCAACATGCTCCTTGTCTAGTCCAATTTCAAACTTATCTATCACAAGCTTCATTATGTCCTTCATATTTTCAAAGTCCTTAGCACTAATGCTTCCGGATCCATCAAGCAGGAAGACAACATCTGCAAAAAGACCTTCACAACCTAAAAATAAGAAATTCATAAAGTGATCACTCCTTCTGTGAAAATAATCTTGACCCAAATTATATTTAGGCCAAGAGAAAAAAAATTATCTGCATGTACTGTATTTTATCACCCATTGAATTAAAAATTGTGCAAATCAGGTAACAGTGCAAACATACAGTATAAACATATGCCCTTAATTGAATTTCTCACCGCATATTTCTGTAATGATGTCTTTCTTGATTTCATCAAGGATATCA